GGGTGATTGATATGCTATTAATAGGGAGTATATTAATTACAATTATGGCAGTTAATGAAATGCTTGAAATAAATTATAAATAAAATATGAAGTTTAGTGGCAATGATGTAAAAACATAGAAATACTAAGACCTCTTATATCCTACTGGTCATTTAAATTTGAAATTGGGTTTTACACATAGATTTATAGAGTGATGAGTATATGTTTATGAAATAGAAAATGTAAGGATCTATATTGGACAAGCTCTAAAAATTAGTTAGATGTCTTCTTCTTCCCAGCGTAGCCTACACTCATTCCTCTCGCTGTTTCGACTTCATCTCTCTCTCTCGGTCTTTCTTCATGCAGCACCTCAGTGCTACCTGTCGACGCCTCAACGGCAAAACGCCAGCCCAGACCAGCCCAGGCGGAGCCCAACTCCCTGGCGGCTACTCCACTATCACTCACACTATCACATACATTAACATTGTGATCACAGTTTAATAAAGTTGAATTATATGAGAGACAAGAATAACAATGTGCAATCGTTCTCTTTCATCTCTCTGCAGAATATTGTTTTGACCCTTCTAAAAGAAAATTATAGCTTCGAACGTGGCTTATCAAATTCTGTGGTCACATGGCTCCTGGTAATATCCTTAACACTGGGGCAGCCAGAAAGGGCCATAGTGAGCTCAAACTCATCCTTCAACATTTCGATGACTCGTCTCACTCCACGTTCTCTGTTTGCTGCATGGCCATAGACAATAGGCCTTCCAACCTGCAGTTACATTTGAGTATATCAGAAGATTGATATGCTAGATGATTAAACAGTGTGGTAGATATCTTACAAGGATAGCTTGTGCACCAAGAGCTAATGCCTTGAAGACATCTGTTCCTCGCCGTACTCCTCCGTCAAAAAGAATGGGAACTCTTCCTCCAACAGCATGAACCACCTGAAAACATTATAGATAGATTATGATTGAACATTTTTACAACTTTGCCAACTGAAATTGTGATAGAAAAAAGCATTGCAATAACCACTATGAAAAAACAAGCTTCCCTTTTATTGCAAAAATGACACAGTTTCTTCTAATGACGACTCTGTCAAAATATTATTTTGGGTTTAAAAAAGCTTAGCAAGTGGAAGTTGCATCCTTTTTGGGCCTTACAAGTTACACCAGAATAATGATGAATTAGAGACAGAGTTTTACCTGTTCCAGGACAGAAATAGTGGCAGGTGTATTGTAGAAATATATTTCCTTGTATTTAACAGATTACACAATGTCCCTATTTATACTAGTATAGAATACCTACTTAAGGTAGGAAATAATATAGACATGAATACAATCTTATTTACAGCAGGAAAGGCTAATTGCTAGAAGGAGATTGTGAAGTTGACTTCTGTGTAGGCTAGGAAAGAAAAGCTGCGTTAACACCCCCCGCAAATTGGGCGTCCCAGGATGCACAAGTTTGGAAGACATAAGCTGATGGCGTGGTTTGTGAAGAGCTTTGGTGAACAGGTCCGCAGGTTGGTCGACAGAAGGAATAAAGCGAACTTGATGACTTCCAAGAGCCACCTTTTCACGGACAAAGTGATAGTCTAACTCAATATGATGTGTGCGGGCATGGAAAACTGGATTGGCAGCCATGTACGTGGTGCTGAGATTGTCACAAAAGAGTTGGACCGGGAATTGAAGACACACACCCAATTCATGAAGAAGAGAGCATAGCCAATTGGTTTTGGCACAAGCATGAGAGAGTGCATGATATTTGGACTCTGTACTAGATCATGAGATTGTGGGTTATTTCTTGGAACACCATGAGATGAGGTTAGTGCCAAGAGTAATCACATATCCAGTGGTTGACCGACGAGAATCGGGGCACCCAGCCCAATTTGCACCAAAGTAGGCAGAGAGGCGAGCGGCAGCAGTTTGAGGAGTGATGGAGAGGCCGAGATTAATAGTGCCCTTGATGTACCTAAGTATC